CTTTATCCGCTGTATAATAGCATACTTTGCTTTATCATATCCAAGAGAGTAGAATCAAAGTGCTATAATTGTATAGTATGAAAGAGACCTTTTGAGGATAATTACGTGAACTCCAATATCATTACTAAAACTCTACAAATATGGTGTGTGCCTATGGACTTTATCACATGGAGGAAATCCTATGCAGAAACAGGATTTAAAAACTGGAGAAAACCTACAAAAGTGGGTTGATTTTTACACATGTTGTGTAAAAATCAATTTTCGGGATTTTTCAAAAGTAAGAAGGAGCAGCTTTTGTCTACTTTCCATTCAGGTTAACAACACTTTAACAATGGTGTCATGTGAAAATCAAACTGCTTTTGCAGTTTTTTTCAATTTAAAACCCTGTTTCTGCATGAGATTTCCCCCGTGTTATAAAGTCCTATGTGTGAGAGAAAGAGGGGGAGAATGAGAGAGAGGAGAAAGCAATAGAGAGCTTATCATATTTGAAATAAGATGCAGCAATAGCCCTTGAAGACAGAGACATTAATGCTGAACTGAAGCCTTTCAAGATAGTTTTGTTTCCACCTCAGTTGAAAATGCCCAAATGACTGTGTCCCTGTCCAATATGCAGCATTGTCCTCAAAGATTTTTGTTGGTTTTCACTTAAGTGCTGTTGGCGTCTGTCTTCTGCAGCCCTGTCTTTCTTCAACTTGTTAGCTACTGATACTCCTGGCCTGTATTATATTATGTTTCTAATCCCCAGACCCCCCAAAAGGCTATTTATTTCAAATCATTAGGTAAAATTTCTTCCATCTCAAATCAGTTTCTTGGCCCTCTTGGATTAGATTGGATTTTAGGACTGGGAACTCATGCTGGAGTAAAGAAGTAGACAAATTGCACTCTCCAGATGTTAATTGACTGTAGCTTCTATCAATCCTCACTGTTGGATTTGCTGGATAGAGCTACTAGGTGTTGTAGCCCAACATATCATAGAATCATAGAATCATAGAGTTGGAAGAGACTACAAGGGCCATCCAGTCCAACCCCCTGCCATGCAGGAACTCAAAATCAAAGCATCCCTGACAGATGGCCAT